TCGTGCACACCCACACACACATTCGCACAAATTTCTACTTTCACCTGCGGCGCTGAAGAAAAATAAAAACGTGACTTATTATGCAGCTAAACGAACAAAATAAGAGATAAATAAAAAGTTTGAGAAATATACATAAGCAGAAATGCACACACGCACACATAGATACACACAGGTACACACAGAGAGACATTAATGCCTATCTAAGCGTTATTGGCTTTTTGTTGTTGGTTAATAAATGATTCACTTGCCTATCGAATGACTGTTGCAGTTGTTGCTACTGTAGCCAATGACCAGATAACAGTATTTTATTTAATTTAATGAATCTTTAGAAAAAAACAGCAACAACATCTTAAACGAAAATAATTAAATCAAATGTGATCGCTGGCAAATTTGACTGATGGTTGCGTGCGAAGATTTTATTGAGATATTGTAATACCTTACATTAACGAAGAGGCTGCGGAGGAGTAAGAGGGTTAATAATGTAAAGCTGTAATGCTAATGTGTGTGTATGCGCTTAGTTGCATGTTGCAAGTGCAATCACACTAGCAGTCTCAATTAAGCTTAGTCATTACAATGGATATTTGTTAATTCATGTATCTATATGGTATACAATAAGAAAAAACGTTAACTTCGGTTGCACCTTAGCTATAATACCCTTCACAAATAAAAAAGTTTTCCATACTGGCACTTGATTCCGATCGTCCAGTTTGTATGGTAGCTATATGCTATTGTGCGACAAATGAGCAGCTTCTTGGGAAAAGAAGTATGTGTACAAAATTTCATATCAAAAACTGAAGAGCTAGTTCGCATATATACAGGTATACAAACGGACATGGTTAAATGCACTTAACTCGTCACGCTGATCATTTATATATATTAATTTTATAGGGTCGCTGACGTTACCTTCTGGGTATTATAAACTTCGTGACAAACTTAATATAATCCGTTCAGGGTATAAAAATAAAATATCTGTGGATGCGCATGCGTTGTGCTTAGATGAGCTACAGCTGCTGAGCTCTTGCATTGCGCACACTTAGCCCCAGCCAAAGCGCTGACAAGCACATAAAGCTGTCAACAACAAGCAGGAGACACAACACATACATACAAAGATATGATGTTGTTGTGAGGCTGGGAAACTGATGCGCAAATAGGCTTTTGTCAATACAGGTGTGTTTGTATTTGCTCGCAGTCTTCTTTTCGCCTTCTTTTCGTTTGAAAATAATTTAGGTGAACAAAAAAGGAAAAAATATTGAAATTCCCCATTACACAGTAAACCATAACGTACAAACATGCAGTAAGCGCGCTAGCGTGGGTTTAATGACATGCTGTCTAAGCTGTTGACTGATTGTTAAAGAGGTGTGTTGTCCTCGTTATCGTGCAACAATGCAACCGTAGTCTATCTGCGTGTGTTTTATGTCAATATTTATGATTATTTTTTATTTATTTGCATACCAGTTCGCATTTTGACATGCAAATGTTACGCGCCACGCAGATATACACACACATATCCGCTTGTAGGCTTAAACTATTTACGTGAAACCGTTTTTTATATATCTTATTTTATGCGACTATTAAATTTTAAATGCGTTTGCTGCTAATACTGTAAGTATTAAATTTTTGAAAACTTTGCACAAAGTAAATGCGATGAATTATGTGCGACTCTAGGAATGTTGCTGTTTTGGAGATGTAAACAATGTATTCGCGCCTCATTTGGCAATAGAAACCACTGAATATGCGGAAAGGTCACTCGAGGTGACCAGTTACTCTAGCTACCTGGACTAATAATAAACGAAACGATATCTGTCGGTGGCATACAAGTGTTAGATTTATCATTATATAACATTTGTTCCTTATTTTAATCATTACAAGAAAAACATTACAATACCTAACAAATATCCTTCTTATAGCATAAAATGATATACATTTTGATTTAGATTGGTCAGTTTGTATGACAGCTATATGTAATAGTGGTCTGATCTGAACAATATGTTTGGATATTGTAGCACTGCCTTGGACAATAATTAATGCCAAATATGGTGAAGATAAATTCTCAAACAAAAAAGTTTTCTATACAAGAACTTGATTTTGATCGGTCAGTTTGTATACCAGCTATATCCCATAATGATCTGATATTGGCGATTTTCGTTAAGAAAATTTTAAATCGATGTCGCAATAACTGGTGACCTAGTTCACGTATAAACAGTTAGACGGGCATGGCTAAATCAACTCAGCATGCCACCCTGATGATTTATATATATACTTTATAGGAGCTCCGACCTTTCCCTCTGGGTGTTACATAATGCTTTTCAAATTTTTCTCTCGAAACTTGGCAAAATAAATACACTTTTTTAATTATAGACATAGGTATATCATAATTTTTAGAGGTAGTAGGATATATATTGCCCATTGAAAACTCTTAGCTATTTATCACGATCTTATATGATCAGTTTTTAGAACACCATATAAGAATTTAGCAATTTAAATCCTTAGTAATGTTGAAGAACTCTTTAAAGAAAATGTCCAATTGGGATTATCGGCATGGGTTTGAGTCAATGGATCAATCAAATTGTGAATTTCAGAAACATTTATTTTTTTCTCCCAAACATAGGTATGCTATTTGTGGCATCGATTTTGCAGTGCTGTCAATTTTTAAAAATAAAAAATTATTTTTACCTTCATCGCGAGTCGAAGCCTTTTATTTCTTTAAATATTTGAACAAATTCTTAACCATCATGAAAAAGCATTAAGTTTTATTTTCATGTATTTATTAGAGTTTCAATAAATTGGAAGATAGCTCGTCAGTCAGAAGTTTAAAAAAATTCTCCAAAGATAATCTAATAAATTGATTGATACTTAGAATGTATCAGTGTTTAAAGAACTTTCTTCTCTAGAAATAATATTTCTCCCTGATTTTTAAACTCTTATTCGAATTTTGAAGATCAAAACAATTGTTAGACAAACTTTTTTAAAAATCAGAGATATCTCTTCTACAAATTTCTCTACATATGTCTGTATGATGCATTTAGTTGTCAATGTTTTCGGCAATCGCTAACTTTTTGCCTAAGTTCAAGATTTTAGAAGTTAAACAAATAAAAAGTCTATTATTATTATTTTTTTCCTTTACTTCAAAGTCAAACATTTCCCCCACTCAAATTATAAGCTTTTATGAACAATTATCTAAAACACTAATCAATAAAGGAAACCCTTTACAAACATTCGAAAATATGATCACGATTGCATCATTATAAATTTAATTATTTACTACATACACATACTAAATTTAACTTATAATTTTAACATTCGAATTGTCACGGGTGACGATATTTTTTCTTTGATAAGCTTTTGACACTTCTCATTTACAATTTGTACAACATTAACCACGCTTACTAGCCTAAGCCGCAAGCTTTGTTTTATTATTCATACATTTATTTAAAAGTGTAATTAATTTTTACGCCCATCACTTCCGTCGATCTGTTCTAATTTTTTACAATTTTTTATTCAAAAACACTTCAAAAAGCCAAACAATGCATCCAAAACCAGCAAATATGTTTCCATACAGACCTGTAATACATACCTATATGTAGAAGAATATACACGTGTATGTGCAAACCTGTAAATTTATGTACATAAATTTGAATGACGGCGAAATTTGGTTTATGACAATTGTCTGCAATATTTTGCTACAAGGTTGTCAATCCTTTGTTTTGAAGGCAGTTTTATTTTGTAAATTGTTGTTCTTGTTTGGTTTTTCTTGACAGTCAACTGTTGACTCTGTTAGTTAGCTATTGTTTGCATTTGTTGCCATTTCAAGTTGAGTTGTGACATTATTTTAGGCAAATTTTATGTACCTTTTTCGCATGGAGTATGACAGAATATATGTATGTGAGAATCTGCGTTTTTCTTAGAATACACGAAAATAAAGCTTGGAGTGTGTGTTTGTACATATGGTACATACGCATGTGGTTGAAGCTTGAAAGAGCGCGAAGAAACGCATGTGTTATTTAAATAAATTGGATTACGTTGAGTTATTCTACATACTATAATACATGTGTATGTATGTTTATATAGTTGTAAAAGAAATCACTATGTTGACATAAAGCACCTTGAGATACAATAACATTAAGCCCAACAATGATTGAAATTTTGGATTGCCTTTTTAATGATTTAATTGCAGACCTTCATTATTTAGTTGAGACATGAATTGAAAACTGTAAAACAAACTGTAAATTAACGAGTTTCATTATTCTGATATTGCTGATGACAATTTAGGTTAGGTTGAAATAATTCTATTCCAGTATTATTGTTAAGCCTTTTTAAAACAAATATATAGACTTTGTTATGACGGATGTAGCACATTTTTATTTGCTCTCAAAGGGTTATCATATACATAGAAATTTTGCTATCATGTGTAATTATTGAGACTTAAAATTATCAAGAACTATAAATAAACAAAATAAATTTGTTTCGTCAACCATATATAGCATTGTGTGAAACTATTATAAAAGGCATCAAAAGGCTATTTCAAATTTTATTGTATTATAAGAGGTTTTGCAGAATTGAAATAAGTAACGGAATTAATAAAAAAGGAGCTTTATATTAAGAAAAAGACAATAAATTTTTAACAGTGATCACAAGAATTTACGATAAATACTTTTGTAGATTTCCCTATATTATTTTCCGCAGTTATCACAAAAAGTATTTATAATTTTTCAAACATATTAAAATTAATAATAAACAAAAAAAAAACGAAAACAGAGCATACAAACTCTTTACACATTTAGCTTTCTAAGGCATCGCCGAAAAAATGATTTTCGAAAAAAATTCGAAGCTTAGTAATCGAATTCATCAGGACTGCATTTTTGATATATGTTTTTGAAATTAAGATCGTATATCGAATGCATGTTATAATAAGGACACATGTCTTAAATATGTTTTGCTTATTTCATTCACTGATGATTTCATAAATAAAAGTACAAACAATTTATAATTTTCTAACTCACCTTTACATTCGGTTGCTGCAACTGCAAGAATGTGGCTATTCCATTGCGCACACGATTCTTGACGCCGCGCACTGTGCCCTTCGACGAACGTATAGTCGAAGTGGCCGAACCGCAACGTATATCCTTGTAGCCGGCGAAGGCATCGTCGTGTAAACTCTTCGTTTCATATTCGGAGAGACTTTCAAGGTCGCCACCGCCCAAACTAGCGGAACCACCACTAACACTATTACCATTAATACCACCAAGACCGCCAGTAATGTCGAAACTGCGGAAATTTTCGTGTTCTCTCACATGGAAATTGTAATATTTATCAGCTTCGTATTTGCGCGGCATTGAGTTCATTTTCATATCAACGAATGTACCGTTATCCGCGTTTAAAACGAACGTTTTATTCGGCAGCGACGCGCGTTTGTTGTTGTGACTATTATTAACAGTCATATTATTACTGTTACGTTCCTTTAAGAATTGCTTATGCTCCATATTAATATAATCCTGCTCGTTGATGGCAACCGGCAAGGCAGTTGTGGTCACATCACCCTCACCATCCACATCACTGCCACCATCAGCGCTGGCAGCGCTGCCAGAATCACCATATTTCGCCTCAAAATCATTGGTGGGGAACTTGCGATCGCGTATATCGCGCAACAAGGAGTCCGGCAGAAAAGAGCCCAACATTTTGACGCAAGCCAAGGAAGCCGCGTTGCCCGTGGTTTTCTGTGCTGTTGGCGAAACCGATGACTGGCGTATGAATTCGGTGGAGTGCAATGAATCACAACTCAACGAGGACGATTCGCTCTCCTCACTATCGGTGAAACTGCCAGCGCGTGCATGTTCGCCATTCGTATGTGACTTCGCTGTACCGTTTGGCAAGTCCAACACTGACTTCTTAGTGCTGCCATTGAGACGTATTTTAGTCGCTTTCATGTGCAATTCCATTTTGGGCGCGCTACCGTTAACACCATTCTGTGTGACAGCATTGAGTTTCTCGAGTGTGCCGAGTAACTTGTTCTGTGTGGTTGGTGCGCCGGGTGTTACATTACCATTACTCTCCAGATCGCTACCTGTGCCGCTGTCTAGTGTGTCGCAAGGAGAGAATTGACCACTGGACATAACATAGTACAGATACGAAGGATGTGTGACATTTAAATCGGTAACGCTTGTATTCGACGTAGCGTTCGTGTTGTTCGCGTGATCGTTACCATTAATATTGGCATTACCGTTACTCTTGCCGTTACCGTTTGCGATTGTGATCGCGTCTAACAAGTTTGTTGCGGCATTACCGCCCGACGACACGGTTACCGCGCCCGTATTGAGAATCATTGCTGTTGTCGTCGTTGTTAATGTGGCTGCCGTAGGCGTTGCAGCTGTAGGCTTTTGCACCATTTTCTGTTCGTGATTGATTTTGTTGTATTCGTTTGTATGTAGTTCGTTCGCACTTTCACCCGTCGTTGTAGCCTGAGTTGAGTCAATTATTTGCACTGAACAACTTAGTTGTGTTAATTCTTTAATTTGATTATCTGTTGGGGAGTGTTGCTCGGGCGTTTCTTGCACTTGTGCCTTGTTAAGGGTCACCACCGACACTTGTTTGTCACTCTTTTCATGCACTTCGTTCGGTTTTATTTGTATCTTTAACACATGTAATTTGGGTTCTAATTGCTTATTCAAATTCGATTCTTTATGATTTGTTGTTATTTGTTCAACACTGCGCCTGCGTATGGCTGCCTCGGTTTCGGTCAGTGCACTTACACAATCTGCACTCGTTGCCGTTAGTAGACTATTCACGCCGATCGCTTTTGAATTCGCGTTCACGTCTGCACTTTCCAGCTGCTCTTGGACATCTGTATTGCAGAGACTATGGCCAGCCTCATGGCGATCGTGTTCGCTAACATTTGCCGCATTCGTACAGATATAATGTTCAAACGCGTTTTGACCATTTCCAATAGCACTAGTCACACAACTTTCGTCGCGATATACATTAGACGTCGCAGTTGGCGCACCAAGTGAGCCAACTGGATCAACTTGCTGCTGATCAGCACGAACGTCATTAGCGCCGCGCTCATCATTATCAGCATGCCGATCATGTGCATCATCATTATCACGCGTATTATTATGCGCTTTGTTGTTGTTGTCATGTTGCTCATCGCCATTGCATCGTATGATAATCATGCCGTGCTGTGGTTGTTGATGTTGTTGATCATTCACTTGTGCTGTCTGCTTCGTGGATATATTATTGTTGCTACTGCTCAGCTGCTCATTTTGACCATTTCTATTTACTTGCGATTTTCCAACATCACTTCCAACACCGTTAGCTAAACGGCCGTCGTTTCCATTCGTTTCGTGCACATCTTCGTTGCTCACAACGCCGCCATCGCTGCGCTCGCTATGTCCATTATTGGCTTTTCCTCTTTCACTCACCACTTTCAACAGCAATTGTGGAAAAGTTGGCACCACCGTGGATGTTGTTATTTTCTGCTTAATTGTGGTGTAACTAGTTTTTTGGTCACTCTCGTACTCACCACTCTGTATGCGATACGAGTGGCGTCGCTCATCATCATTCAACGTTTGCTCATTATTTGCTTTGACATTATTATTGCTTTTGTAATTATTATCTATACCGCTAACACCAATACGTGTTGTTGTTGCCACTAATTTACTTGGTTGCGGCTGCAGCTTAGTGAGTACTGTTCTAGTTACCGCCGTTGATGGTGTTGGTGCCATTTGTGTTTTTGTTGTTGTTGTATTTTGATAGATAGTGATCTTGGCCGTTTCGGGCATTTGTGTTGTTGGTCTCAATGTTTCTTGTTGACAATTGTTGAGTACGAGTGGTTGTTGCTTATGTATTGTTGTTGGTGTTGTTTCTGTATTCTGGTCAATTAGTATGGAGATGCCACGCGTTGTTGGCGTATTCGTGTTTATAACAGTTTTCGTTGCCATTATTGCTGTTGCTTGCTGGCTCAACTGGCTTTTAAATTGTGATTACTAAAATTTACTTGTGATTACCGCGCTGCTGATTACTTCTTTTCCGCGTTGAGATTTACTTCGTTTTTCTTGGTCTTGCACTATTTTTCTGACTTGCTTCACCTCAATAATGTTGATCTTCGCTTAAGCTCCGATCTCTTGGCGCCTCTATACAAACAAACGAATATCTTCCTCCGTTTCTTCACTCTTCCGTGTTTGCTTTTGCTCCGTTTGCAACACTCGACGCTTTGTGCCTGATCTTCAGCGCCCACTTTGTTCTTTTACAAAGCAAATGTGATCTTCTAAAGCTTCTCTTTTGTTTCTATGGCTTTTGTCTGCAGTTTCTTTGTTTTCGTTTTCTTTTTTTCGATCTCACTGCGTCGTGATTTGCAGTTATGCAATTTGTAGCGTGTAATATAATCGCTGTAACTCCCTAACAGTCGTTACTTGCACTCATACATAGATAAATGTGTACACTCAATGGTCTCTGGGCACTTGTCGGCGTTCATACATTTCTGCATGCACTTCCTGATTTGATGACTTTATAATTTTCTTTTGTTGTCTTCATTGCACTTATTGTCATGCAGTCGCTGCATAATCCTCTTGCTTAGTCGTTACTTTAATGAAACCTTATTTTTTCACTGGAACTTTTTTATCGCAGTTATATTTTGCATTAAAATTGCGCATAGTTTTAATTTTTCAATTTTATTTATTTCTTTATTTTTACTGTCTTTTCATTTATATAAATACAAACTTGCATTTCTATGATGTTTTTGTGTGAAAACTCCACTTTATTTTAAGTTGTATGTTTTAAGATTTCATACCTGTAAATAAAATATAAAATACAAAAACCAATATTTAGTAAACTCAAAATTATCAAATATTTTGTGTATTATGTACAAGCATGTTACAATATGCATATGTAAGTGTATATTTTTACCCTGAACAAGGTATATTAAGTTCATCATGAAATTTGTAAGGCCCGGAGGGGAATATCGGAAAACATATAAGATGTATATGGGATATTCCACGCCAAATCGACCACTTTTAAATTCGACCCCCTTTCCGATTTAGCCGAAATTTTTCTATTCTCTTCTACCCTTTAAAAAACATTTTTGAGAATTTTTTTCAAACTTTTTTATCAAACCCAAAAAAAGTTAGGAATTTTTCTAAAAAAAAAGCGGCTTTTTTATTTTCAAATAGCTATAACTTTTTTAGGCATAGAGTTTTGGGTACCTTTTTTTTTAGTTTTTGTTTTTAAATAATCTTTTTGAAAAAATACATCAGAAAATTAAATATGATCAATTCTTCAAGATAATCGATTTATTTTACCAAAATCGTTATTTTTTTGAAGACATTTTGTTTTTCTCCAAAATAACTTCAATTAATATGACAACTTTTCCCGCTTATCCTAGAGTGGCTCCAATTTTTATGGGAAACTTTTTTATTTGACGTAATATCTTTACGAAATTTGGCATGAACTATTTTCTAAGGCAACAATGTAATCTCCGAACAAATTGTTTAGATCAGATCACTATAGCATACAGCTGCCATACAAATTGAATGATCGGAATCAAGTGCTTGTATAGAAAACTCTTTCATTTGACGAGGTATCTTCACGAAATTTGACATAGATTATTATTTAAGGCAATAGTGCAATCTCCGAAGAAATTGTACATATCGGATGGCTATAACATATAGCTGTCATATTAACTGAACGATCGGAGTGACGTGCCTGCATGGAAAACTTTTTTCTTCACGAAATTAGATCGGAATCAAGTTATTGTACATTTGTACTTGTGAAGGGTATTAAAGCTTCGATGCAACTCAAAGAGCTGTGTAAACTTTTATCAAGATCGGGTTAGTTAGAAATCTTGACAACCGACTTTGAAAACACAGTTTCGAGAAAAACGCATTTAAGCGACTATATAGCTGACTTCGAGAGCACAACTTTTCAAGGCAGTATCTCCAAAACTATAGCTCGGATCAATTTGAGAATTTAGGACAATATTCTAGAGGGGTTATAGAATTAAATAAGACAATAAAAATATTTTTTGAAGCAGTGAAACCCATGTAACCTCTTAATGGTTTCACCCGGTTTTAGAAGCTCCTAATACAACACGCCCTTCTGATCGTACCAAGTATAGAGCATTACCTTGACTTGAAGTCATGGATATTCGGCTTTACCGTTGATTTAGCTGGTTCGCCAGGTTTCACATATTTTTTTTTATTATAGCATTCAAGCAGTATTTCTGATATGCAAAATCGTCTTTCATTAGCCTAAAGACCAACATATTAGTAGAAAATATCTTGCAAAGTTATTTTTTTACTTTGAAGCTGCCCGCTTTTTTCACAATATGAGATCTATCACAGATAAAACTTGAATTATAGGAAAATCCTTTCCTTCTAGAGCTTTGATGACAAACCTTTGTCTAAAAGTGTTTGGAAACCTTGTTATTTTATCAATTTCGGTAGGATGTCTTAAACGCCTTTTGGATCTTAGTCTAAATTGTAATGAACAGATTGAATGGGTTAAAGTAAACTGCCTGCAAAACGACCAATTAATGTTCTCTCTTTTTTTACTCAAATTTTTAGGAGTAGTTTGAAATATACATAGGTCCAAAGTTGAAACAGTTCAAGCTCAGACTATATGAGTAGAAACTCAAAGAATTATTTCGTTCTCTTCCTACACGTAAAAAATCTTTTATTCAGCGAGTTTATGTGAGACTTTTTGCAAGAATTGACCCTCGATCTCGACGTCCAATCGAACAAACTAATAGTAATATTGTTTTTGGAATGCCTTACCAAAGCTCTAACAGGTCTACGGTTCAGTGGTTATATAAATAATTAAATTGCCTCAAGCTATTTTTTACGAAAGAAATCGACATAAAATGTCAATTTTACATTATTAAATAACTATTTTAATAAATTGAATATAATTGAATTAAAAGTAATATTATCTTTGGCGCTGAAAAGCGACAAAAGTATGTGTGAGGAATAGCATAGTATTCAAATCACGAAAAATTATCTTATGTTAATAACGAATAAATTATATACGCAATAAGAAAATGTTGCTAGAACCTGCAAGACTTGCCTTCAAAAATACCAAACAATTTAAAAATTTACAAACTTTTAAATCAGAACTTAGTTCGCTGATGAGCACCGAGTTATAAGCCCTAATCCACGGACAAACAATTGTCATGCTAATAAGCCAAAACTCGGATGTAACCAAGCCAGTTGGGTTTCTTAACAAATTCATAAATAATAAACTGATGATTTGTTTAAGCTTAACAATAGACGAGAGATCATGGCGAACCTGTTGTCTGGTTCTTGTTTCCTAATAGATATCTACATATCTGTATTTATATGTATAGATCAGCACACTTGTGTACAAAGTAATAGCATTTAAAGCTCCGTTAAATCTGAAAAAATTAAACCAGTTTCTATGTTTTACCAAAAAGATTTTAGTTAATTTTGCTAATTCACGAAAGTACTCGTATAACTCAATTTAGCATGCATAAATTGGTAAATTTGTTTCAAAACTGATGAACATCGGAAATTCACACAAGCTGACCTCGCGAAATAACAATAATACAAGAACAGTGAACAGTGAACCTGTTTATAGATCATTTGAAGAACATACTATATGAATGATAACCCCTTATTACAACAATTTCAGGGCATAAATTAAAAACATTTTGTTTTATATAACACAACGCGGTTAAATATTATCAAGTAAAGGCCAAAGTTAAAAAATAAGGTAAGCAATAGACGGCTGATGAACATCAGTTCTGATCGGTTTGAAACTTTAATTTTTTACTAAAATCCAACTAGAGAAACTAGTTTCCCAGAAAGTACCATATTTAACAATGGAAAACCAAAAAAGTCTTTTGTATAAAGGAACGACTTACATAAGTATATATTTCCTGCGAAGCATTAAGTGAGCGTTATGAAAAAATAAAACAAACACTTTTGTAAATTTTATAACAAAGTAAGGCGACTTGCGATATATCGGGAGATAGAAGCATCCTTGCACATTACAAACGACTACGTGCATTAAGGAATGAAGAAATTCTAAAGCTGTTGGGTTCTACGAATTATATCTGGCATGCTTAAAAGAGCTGCTCCTACCAGTATAGATGCGCCAAAAAGAATCAAATTGAAGGATGTGGTGCATTCATGGAACAGTTCAAGATAAACTGAACACAGTTGCTTCCGCGTTCCGAATTCGCAGAAACAATTTACTTAAGCGAAGTTAACAACAAAATCAAAGAACAGCCAGTTTTCTCTCACGATGATGATCTGAGATGTAACAAATTCCTACAAAACGTAATTTCCCAAAAAATAACTTTCAAAAAAGTACAAAAAGAAAATTTCAAGAGGGTCAGCTACTATATCTATCACATACCTACCTAGCTGGGTTTTACTACCTTTTCTTAAAAGTGGCATTGTTCCTTCTACACCAAAGAAATGAGAAACAATAAGAAAACTCTTAAATGCCCCTTGTTACTGGCGACTAGTAAGGAGGATTCCCTGCGAATTTCTTTTGCCACCATACGAGTACCATTATACCGTAAGCCGTAATCGGCCTTACAATTACTGTGTAGAGCTAATGAGCTACCCGTGGCGTTACTCCCCATCTGGGCCCTACCATAAAGTGCTGTTGCTGCTTTCTTTACCCTAGCAACTACAATAATAAGCTTTTGAACTTTTACTTTTGAAAATTTTTAAACGTTACCCTATTTTTCTGTACACTACTATGTAAACATAAACATATTCGTATCTGTGTGCATTTTTATACTCGCGCAACCTGTTGCTACAGAGTATAATGGTTTTGTTCACCTAACGGTTGTTTGTATCACCTAAAACTAATCGAGTTAGATATAGGGTTATATATATAATATATAAATGATCAGGATGAAGAGACGAGTTGAAATCCGGGTGACTGTCTGTCCGTCCGTGCAAGCTGCAACTTGAGTAAACATTGAGATATCTTTATGAAACTTGGTAGACATGTTTCTTGGTACCGTGAGACGGTTGGTATTGCAGACAGTAACCGGGCCACTGCCACGCCCACAAAACGCCATTAATCAAAAACAAATAAATTACCATAACTAAGCTCCGCAATAAGATATAAGACTGTTATTTGGTACACATGATCACATTAGGGAGGGACATCTGCAGTTAAAATTTTTTTTAAAAAGTAGGCGTGGTCCCGCCGCTAATAGGTTTAATGTGCATATCTCCTAAACCGCTAATGTTATAAAAACAAAATTCACTAGAAGCAAATTTTTTTAAAACCTCTACCCACAGTGTGAAAATAGTTGAAATCGGGTGGCAACTCCGCCCACTCTCCATATAACGGTACTGTTAAAAACTACTAAAAGCGCGATAAATCAAGCACTAAACACGATAGAGACATTAAATTTTATCTCTGTATTGGTATAAGATGACTTTATAGGAACCGCGTTCAAAATTAGACAGTGGGCGTGGCACAGCCCACTTTTAGGTGAAAACCCATATCTTGAGATCTGCTTAACCGATTTCAACCAAATTCGGTACGTAATATTCTTCTCATATTCCTATGTAATAGTGCGAAAATGGGCGAAACCGGACTACAACCACGCCTACTTCCCATATAACACCATTTTAAATTCCATCTGATTCTTTCACTTTTCACTATGCATATCAAGCAACAATGATTATATCGGGGTAAAACTTTGCGTGAATAATACGTTTAAAGTATGCCACCTTGTGACCAAAACTTGTCTAAATCGAACCAAAACTATTCAAGCCCCTAAGTACTAAATATGTGGACCCCAGTGCCTATAGTTGACCTTCTACCGAAAATATCAGCCAATCCACAAAGAAATCTCAAACGAGTATACCATTTGACTTTGCGAGAGTATAAAATGTTCGGTTACATCCGAACTTAGCCCTTCCTTACTTGTTATTATTATTTTTGTACTCTTAAAAGATGTTGCTATAGAGTATAATAGTTTTGTCCACCTTACGATTGTTTGCATCACCTAAAAGTAATTGGAATAGATATGAAGTTATATACCATATAATATATATATGCAATGAAGCTCGGTACAAATGTTTCTTGGCACCCAAGGAGGGTTGGTATTGCAGATGGGCGGAATCGGATCATTACCACTCCGATAAAACGCCATTAATCGAAAACGTGTAAAGTGCCATAACTAAGGTCCACAATAAGCTGTTATTATGTATGTAAACCGAATTGCAATAGCACAGGGCATCTATAGATGAAAAAATTGTAAAAAATGGGCTTGGCTCGGCACCTTAATAAGTTTAATGTACATATCTTCTAAACCATTCAATATCTCAATTCTCTCAGTACAAATAATTTTATCATCCCTAATCATTCTGTATAAATGGGTGAATTCCGATTATAATACCGTCCTCTACCCATATAACGGGTTTGTTAAAGGGCGACAAATCGGTAACTAAATGCGCCAGAGACATAAAATTTTACAACCGTGGTGGTACAAATGCGCATTATAGGAGCCGGTGTCAAATTTTATCGATGGGTGTGGCAAAGCCCACATTTAAGTGAAAACCCATATCTCGGGACCTACTCAACCAAATTTTGTAAGTAATATTATACTGTTATTCTTATATTACCACGGAAATATAACACCATTCTTTCCAGTATACAAATCAATGTGTCTGGATAAAACTTTGCACGAGTAGTTACTTTGAGCTGTGCCATCTTATGACCAAAAAGTGTCCAAGTCGGATCAAAACTATTCAAGCTGTCAGTTATATTATTAAAATTCGAAATAAATGTTTCCCTTGAACATTGCAAGAGTATAAAATGTTCGGTTGCACCCGAACTTAGCCCTTTGTTTATTGTTCCATTTTATTTTTGGTTTTTTCATAATCCAGTTTCAACCCGAAGAAACAATTTTGCCCATTTACTTTTCAGAAAATGCCAAACCCGTATTTATGACAAACTGTATTTCCAGTCCACATAACTATTTAAAATTTCTTCACTTTGTTTGTTCTTGAATAGTTTTTGAGCGCCAAAATTATTTAAATGGCGTTCGTTTAGCAAAACCGCTAAAATGAATGTTAACTGTTACTAAGGCATAGAGGCCATTTTATATACAAGTATGCACGTATACAAGTATATATATTTAAACATTTCAGTTTTACTTTTTAATTTTGCAGTAATTTTAATACCTAAACTTAACTAGCCATAATTGCTAAAGAACGACAAATTATATAGGTTTAAGACCAATAAAAAGTTTAAAATAAGAAAACATATATAAAGAGTAAGGAAGGGCTTAGTTCGGATGTAACCGAACATTTTATACTCTCGCAAAGTCAACTTGTTTTAGACTTCTTTGTGATCTTGCCGCCTTGTTCTATGTTGACCGATATTTCGGTAAAAATTCAACCATAGTCACTGGGGTCCACATATTCAGTACCTAGGGGCTTGAACAACAAAGTTTTACGTCGATAATTATTGTTGCTTGACTTGCATACTGGAAAGTGAAAAAATCAGATGGAATTTAAAATGATGTTATATGGGAAATAGGCGTGGTTGTAATTCGATTTCTCCCATTTTCGTACTATAACATAGAAATATGAGAAGAATATTATGTACCGAAATTTGTTGAAATCGGTTAAGCAGATCCCAAGATATGGGTTTTCACCTTATACCATCCTAGAGATAAAATTTAATGTCTGTAGAGTGTTTAGTGCTTGATTTATCGCGCTTTTAGTAGTTGTTAACAGTACCGTTAAATGGGGAGTGGGCGGGGTTGTCACCCGATTTCATCCATTTTTACACGGTCGATAGAGATGCTAAAAACATTTGTTCCCAGTGAATTTTCTTATTATAGCTTTAGCGGCTTGGGAGATATGCACGTTAAATTCTGTAGCAACATTGCTTTGTACTCTGTAGCAACGAGTTGCGAGAGTTTAAAAAATAGTGGCGCTCATTGGGTTAAAGAATTTTACTCTTAATGTTATTTTGTAATTACAAATTCCAACACACAGAAACAGACTGCTGTCGCCTTAGCAAGTATTATTACTTTATAAAAAATATAATACGAACAAAAAACAAGTAAGGAAGGGCTAAGTTCGGATGTAACCGAACATTTTACACTCTCGCAAAGTCAAATGGTATACTCGTTTGAGATTTCTTTGTGGATTGACTGATATTTTCGTTAGAAGGTCAACTATAGGCACTGGAGTCCACATATGTAGTACTTAGGGTCTTGAATAGTTTTTGTTCGATTTAGACAAGTTTTGGCCACAAGGTGGCATACTTTAAACGCATTATTCACGCAAAGTTTTACCCCGATACAATCATTGTTGCTTGATTTGCATACTGGAAAGTAAAAGAATCAGATGATAATATAGAGATATGAGAAGAATGTTATGTACCATATTTGGTTGAAATTGGTTAAGCAGATCTCAAGATATGGGTTTTCACCTAAAAGTGGGCTAAGCCACGCCCACTGTCTAATTTTGGACGCGGTTCCTATAAAGTTATCTCATACCATCCCAGAGATAAAATTTAATGTCTCTGGCGTATTTCGTGCTTAATTTATCGCGCTATTAGTAGTTTTTAACAGTACCGTTATATGGGGAGTGGGCGGCGTTGCCACCCGATTTCAACTATTTTCACACTGTGGGTAGAGGTTCAAAAAACATTTGCTTCCAGTGAATTTTGTTATTATAGCATTAGCGGTTTAGGAGATATGCACATTAAACCTATTAGGGGCGGGACCACGCCCACTTTTAACTGCAGATGCCCCTCTCTAATATGATCCTGTGTACCAAATAACAGTCTTGTATCTTATTGCGGAGCTTAGTTATGGCAATTTATTTGTTTTTGATTAATGGCGTTTTGTGGGCGTGGCAGTGGTCCGGTTACGCCCATCTGCAATACCAACCGTCTCACGGTACCAAGAAATATGTCTACTAAGTTTCATAAAGATTTCTCAATTTTTACTCAAGTTAGAGCTTGCACGGACGGACGGTTGGACGGACGGACGGACGGACAGACAGTCACCCGGATTTCAACTCGTCTCTTCATCCTGAGCATTTATATATACATAACCCTATATCTAACTCTTTTAGTTTTAGATGATACAAACAACCGTTAGGTGAACAAAACTATTATACTCTGTAGCAACAGGTTGCGAGAGTATAATAAAAAATAAACGTGAATTCGAGACAACATTTACATTTTTTTATTATTGATGAGTTTGCAGGCAGGTTGGTGAAATGAGAACTCATGGTGGCAATTGTAGCCGACAGTGCGGCGCAGTAAAACCGGTATATACTTGCACATACATACATACAAACAGACATCTATATATTCAGGCCGGTTCCGAGGTAAAACAAACCAAAGTCAAGTAAAACTCTTAATGTTAAACAAGCCACGACAAGGCTGTCCGCTAGACGTCCTTACAGCGCTGTGACTGCACTTGGTCATTAAAAAATTATGACAATTTTTTGTTTCACATTTAGTCCACTATGCATTTTTCAAGTACATTAAAGACACCTGCAAGTAAGTATTGTCAGCGCTATGGAAACAAAAGGAAAGGAAAGGGAAAAAATTAGCCTTTTTTGTCCTCAACCGCATATTCAGAGCAAATTAAACAAGACTATGTGCCTTTTATTCTCAAAGTAACCTTTCCAACAGGAAGTAAATGAGACAATAAATGAAATAGCTGAGGCATTTTTAAAAAAATATTGCCATAATGAAGAAAAGCACAACTGTCAGGACTTTACGATGTTCCTTAACTGAGTCGGAAAAAGGCTACCCTATGGTTGAAAATATTGCAGAAGTGTTTTGGGAAGTATACTTTATCACGAACACAATTATTTTAGAAGCACAAAGCATTCAGTGAAGGTCGGCATCAGAGAGATAGCAGCGGATTTTAACATCTGTTATGGATCGACTCAATCCATTTGGGTTAGCCGACGTCGAGTAGATGTGGCATAAGAGATTCTTGACAACGTAGCTGAGGACCCTACATTCATCAAACGCATCATTATTGATGACGAGACGTGGGTTTATGAATATGATGTCGAAAATGATCAACAATATTGCCGCCAATGGCACTCCAAAAATGAGTCGAAACCGTAAAAAAATCAATTTCGCTGAAGGCACTGATGGCCATCCCAGCCGAAGTTTATAACAAGTGTTTGGAAAATTGGATTAAGCGTTGGTATGCTTGCATTAGCTGAGACTATAATAAATATTTGTATTTAAATACGTGAAAATGTAGTTTAATTTACCCAAAATAACTGCCGCTTCGATGGAAGAACCCAAAGAGAAATTAATTCAGAATTTTCAAGCAGATGTTATAGGTAAGAAAGGGATTGAAGGCTCAATATATAAAATAGCAGCCTCTCTTGAACAGTGTGGTGCAAAAAACACCGGCCAATCTGTGCGTTGATACTGGGGTTCTAATATTTTTATATTTGCGGATCTGCAGATCATAGACAATTAAGGGCTGATATGCATAGTAACTACCGAAATTGTATAACAAAAAAAAATTATAGCGTCGATGGAAAAACATCCAGATATAAAAAAAACGGATCTGTGAAATAGGAGGGTTGACAGAGAGATCATTACTTGCTATTACTACTTTGAAAATTCTTAGAGCGCTTGTCAAATTTGATACAGATTTATACTTGCTCAGGAAATACTGGTTAATAAGTGTGGTTTTATCCAGAAAAAAATGCTCTTAACTCCAATTAGAAGAGAACTTCTGCATATTAAATATTTAGAGGGGATTCAGTGTTGCTCAGAATTGAAAACTTAGTTTTTGAATTGTTAGCTACCTAATTGATCATTACTTTAATATATATTTTATATGAAATTGACTTCATTACTAATATATTTGATAATATGTATGTATTTACTTATTTACACTAATTGTCATAAATATTTGATCCATTATATGCACAAAGAAATTCCCAGAGCTGTAATTACTAATTATTGTTAGTAATTATCACTAATAAGTGACTAATAGGTGCTATTAGTGACTAAAAATTGTTTGCTCCAAGTTGTGATAGTTTTTTTTTTTTGATAAACTTGTAAAACGGTAACTTCCGCTCTACAAAAATCAATACTTTATGAGATTCTTTTTTAGCAAATGACGATAAAAATTGATATATTAGTTGCCAACTCTTTGTATTTATATACATACACATGAACTTAAGGAATTTTCGAATTAAACGCGTACAAATATTCATATATGTACATTGAGTTTTTAGAGAATAGACCGTCTGGGAATTCGTCCATTTCGCATAATCTCACGAATAATTGTAGCTTTCAGTGAATTCGTCAATATTATCTAACCTGGCACGATTACTTTAATTCCGTTGTTGCATCGAGTATGCTTGCATATTAGAAAAAAAATTTTGCTTTTGAATTGACAACTGCATTGGTTGAACATTTTTCCCCTGTCACAGAAAACCTTTTTCGTTGAATCTTGTGATGTCATATATACATACATATGTATGTTACATAAGTATTGTATATTCATAATTTTGAGTTGACAGTAACTTTTTCTGTATGAAATAAGATTTTCTCCGTACAATTTTAAGAAAATCAAAAGCTTTACAAATAAAAAACCGCTACCACGACAATTGGGTCTACGTAACCGAAATGGATTTTAATTCAACAGTGGATTGTGAACTCGCCAACATTACTCCAAATTATTTGAGGAATGTTTTTCCCTCTACAACAACAGCAAAAATAATAGTCTCTGATCTCTACGCCAATTCAGTGACAACTTATAAGATACAAGTATATGTATTTATCTTGAGGCATTTGAAGGTCATACACTGTCTCATTCAAATTTTATATTAGACTTTTTAGTGTTCAAAACTTTAGAGCGCTTTCTCCACAGTTCACACGTTTTCAACGTCGGTGCATTCACAACTTCAAAACTACTGCACCGATCCTTTTATGTATAATTTTTATTTTACAATAACGAAAATATCGCGTTTTTCCTTAAAAAATTTTCCAAAATAATTAAAAATAAAATTTGAAAAAACCCTCTTGTCCCTCCCGTTACGTGGGAAAACTATTATCTAACAAAACTTTGATTTTGAATAATCTAGCACCAAGTTATGAGGGGCACCACAATCCAACTTCTTTTCGAGACACGTTCGAATAACTGCTGTCATTGCCGTAGTTTTTAATATTTCGTCGTGAAAATTTTTTGCAATCCTTTTAAAATGTTATGTTTTAATGTACCATTGGTTTTAAAAAATATTAAGTGTGTCGTCACAAAAAATTAACAAAAACCTGCGTTTCTTTGCATGAATTATCCTTAACTCCCTAATGGGGTTTTCATGGACAAGAAATGTAATGAAAGCAAAGGTATTGACAAGTCCTTTTGTCTAAAGTTCATAACTGACTACATTGGATGGACATTCTTACTGCGATCGGTATCGTTGTTGCTGAATGGAACTATAAAACTACTAGAGCTTTTCCAGACTGCATTATGAAGAAGTTTATATATATTATAATTTTCTTGCTTTGAACCCAGTTCTCGAACTAGCATAAATGAAAGAAACCGACTTTTAGTAGTAGAAAATAGCAGCAAACCCTGTGAAGGTACATGCATGCATCTCTTATATCACTAACTACACAACCGCTTATTTAAGAGTTTCCTATTAAGTTGCAGCAACAATAGCGTGTAAAAGACTAATTATTACTTTAAAGGACCAGCAACATTTTTTGGCAATTCCCAAGTATAATAATAATTTTCAACGAAACCGTAAGTTGAACCAAAAAATTAACGTTGACGAATATTATAGGTAATCAAATTATAACAAAAAGTCATAATATGCCATTTCTTTAAGATTTCAATTTTAGGACTATGACTAGAACATAAAAATTCGAAACGTGTCCGTGTGAAATAATTTTTGCATCGAAACTTGCATTTGTTAAAAATGTATTCAAATAATGTTTGACACCAGAAGCATTCTTCAGTTTTCATAGTAATATTTAAGGCCTACGTACCGTAAGAAATTTTAGTGACTAATCTGCGCTTAAACTGTGAATTATGATTGTAACTAGGGTTGTGTATTGTTTAACTAAAAAAAATTGGATTAAAAATTATTTTTTAAATTTTTAATCTAAATTTTTTAATCGAAAATCGGAATTAAAAATTGACAAAAATTATTTAATCTAAAAATTGGAGTAACATATGGTGTTAAAACATTATTTTTCAAATCAAAAGCTGGAATAAAAAGAGATAAAACAAGTAAGGAAGAGCTAAGTTCGGATGTAACCGAACATTTTATACTCTCGCAAAGTCAAATGGTATACTCGTTTGAGATTTCTTTGTGGATTGACTGATATTTTCGGTAGAAGGTCAACTATAGGTACTGGGGTCCACATATTCAGTACTAGGGGCTTGAAAGTTTTGGTTCGATTTAGAAATTTTTGGTCACAAGGTGGCATACTTTAAACGTATTATTCACGCAAAGTTTTACGCCGATATAATCATTGTTGCTTGATTTGCATAGTGGAAAGTGAAAGAATCAAGTGGTATTTAAAATGGTGTCATATGGAAAATAGGCGTGGTTGTAATCCGATTTCGCCCATTTTCGCACTATACATAGAATGAAAAAGAACGTTACGCACCGAATTTGGTTGAAATCGGTTAAGCAGATTCCAAGATATGGGTTTTCACCTAAAAGTGGCTGTGCCACGCCCACTGTCTAATTTTGAACGCGGTTCCTATAAAGTCATCTTATACCATCTAGAGATAAAATTTAATGTCTCTGGCGTGTTTAGTGCTTGATTTATCGCGCTTTTAGTAGTTTTTAACAGTACCGTTATATGGGAGTGGCGGAGTTGCCACCCGATTTCAACTATTTTCAACCGTATAGAAGTGCTAAAAACATTTGCTTCAGTGAATTTTGTTATTATAGCATTAGCGGTTTAGGAGATATGCACATTAAACCTATTAGAGGCGGGACCACGCCACTTTTAAAAATTTTAACTGCAGATGCCCCTCCCTAATGTGATCCTGTGTACCAAATAACAGTCTTGTATCTTATTGCGGAGCTTAGTTATGGCAAGTTATTTGTTTTTGATTAATGGCGTTTTGTGGGCGTGGCAGTGGTCCGATTACGCCATCTGCAATACCAACCGTCTCACGGTACCATGAAACATGTCTACCAAGTTTCATAAAGATATCTCAATTTTACTCAAGTTAGAGCTTGCACGGACGGACGGACGGACAGACGGACAGACAGTCACCGATTTCAACTCGTCTCTTCATCCTGATCATTTATATATATATAACCCTATATCTAACTCGATTAGTTTTAGGTGATACAAACAACCGTTAGGTGAACAAAACTATTATACTCTGTAGCAACAGGTTGCGAGAGTATAAAAAAGAGATAAAAAATCTCTTCATCCTGATCATTTATATATATATAACCCTATATCTAACTCGATTAGTTTTAGGTGATACAAACAACCGTTAGGTGAACAAAACTATTATACTCTGTAGCAACAGGTTGCGAGTATAAAAAGAGATAAAAAGATATAAAAGTGATAAATAGTCAAGGAGTGTTAAAATATGCCATTCTATTAAAAATAAACGTTAAGGATCGAAAGAAAACTTAGATGGTAGAACCGAATTACGCAAGCGCGAAATAATTTTTAATTCAATAACATTAGGCAACTAAGTAATTGCGGATTTTTTTAAAAAATCAAAGACAATTTTTTAATACAATAGTTATAAACTTGTGACCAAAATTTTTTTTCAATCCGGCATTTAGGATAGAATATTAGGATTGAAGATTTTCGGGATTACAAAATAAAAGATAAATTTTAAATTAAAATTTATTTACGACCCTGATTTGAAAAAAACAAAAACAAGAAAAAACGTTAACTTCGCTTGCACCCTTCACAAATACCAATGGTTCCTTATAAGAATTTGATTCCGAACTTTTCCTAACAATTTCTTCGGAGATTACTTTATTGCCGTATACAATAATCCATGCCAAATTTTGTTAAAATATCTCGTCAAATAAAAATGTTCTCAATGCAAGAACTTGATTCCGATCGCATGATGTATAGCAGCTATGTGCTATGTATAATTTAAAAATAAATAACTTCGATTTTTTTTAATAGAAAATTTAAATTTTTTCCTATAGGGTAACCATATACGGCATTTCGCACCTATTTATGGTATGTACATTTAAATATGCTAACTCAACAACTTCAACTAGGCATTTAACACACCTTCCAAAAAAATTTATCAAAAAATTGCTACTGCGCTGAAAACCTCTATAAAAAATCCTCCTGACGCTGCCATGTTAAGCGTGTTGTAGTAACAAATATTCTCGTGAGCAAATGTGTATGTATGTAATTAAATGTTCGGTTGCACCTTTCTTAAATTTTTAACAAACACCGCCGCATATAAGCAGACGTACACATAAATATATTTCTCACGTTTCTCTTACTTTGTAATATTTCGTTACTGTTTTTTCATAATTTTCTTTTACAATTCTACGCTGCTACACTTTTGACGCTTCAAATTCGCTACACAAACATTTCACTACAGTTTCGAGGTGCTTAATAGATATGTTGTTGCATCTATGAATTTTTACTCGCCACGCTTTCAAGTAACTTACATTTTTTTGGTTTTTTTGTTTTTTTTAATATTTTTTTTTGTATTTTTTTTATTTTTTATTTTATTATATTATATTTTTTGTTTTTTATTTGAGTGGAAAATATATTAACTGGGTTGATTGGCACACACGTGCGAGTAAGTGCACCAATATTTGTTTGTATGTTGGTGAGTCTGTATACACATGGATATGTGTATGTGTGTCAGTTTATTTACAATGTAAAAGTGCGCATTTATTTGTTTGTAGATTCACTTCGCATGCGTTAGTGCATATTTCATATTCTCAATTTGGTACTGCTGCCGATTTTCTTGTTGTTGTTGTTATATTTGTTGCAGTTATTTTTTCACTTAACTTTTTCCACTTTTTTTGTCCTTTCTCTCTCTTTCTTCTCGAAGCAAAAAATATTATTGACTTTCACGAAATGCGAATTCCAAATATACGAGTACTAGCATAGCAGGCACACGCGCACATACACACGCACACACATGTAAACAGGGGCACACACACACACTCTCAAAGCGACGCAAGTAGAAGTTCCCAGTTGCAATAATAAGCGTTTTGGCTGCAAAAGAAAGCCGAAAGCCGGTGTATCAACGCGCGGTAATGCTGATCGGAAGTGTGTTGTTCAAGTGGCACTACTTACAGCTTATTGTTGTTGCTGGTTGTGTTGGCGGTAGTGTGACGCACCTTGTTGCATTGCTGCAGCTTCAATGGTTGTTTGTAGTAGTACGAATTGTTGTTGTTTTTTCACTGCAAATTGTTTGCTTTTATGTTGTTGTTGCGGTTATTGTTAAACAGCATTTTTATGTGACATTCAAGTTTGCCGTTACAGCAAATATTAAATTTCCAGTATCATCAAGCTCTCTTTACTACCAGTTGAGTGGGCAATAGACCGACCGGCAACCCAGCGCTGCAGGTTTATAAGAAACAACTGTAAAGTATTAATGGCAAATGCACGCACGCGCGCGCGGAGTCTAATGTTTTTCTTTATTTCTTTTAAATTTTTGTATTTGTATTTCAATTTCAAAAAGATAATTTTTTGTTCACGCTGCACAACGTAGCACAAATTCACTTGGCATACAAATTACTATAATGCTCTTATAACGGTCTCGTTGGTGGTAAAACGCGCGTACGGTTCATTCAATATCACGTCGGCGACTAAAACTGCCTGCGATCAGGCATATGGCGCTTTGCCACTTGCCAACGAGCCAAGGCATCCATCCATCCACCATTCAGCAAACCGCAAAGTCAGCCGCCAAGCCACCGAGCAGGCAAGCAGCCAAGACGTCAAAGTCAAAGCTTCGATGCGCACCGACTCCGCGCTGCTGCTGCTGGGCTACACCAAAAGCGCAACACTAAAAAGCTTTCGCTGCGACGCAGCGTGACGCGACGGCGCGCTTTCGAAAACAAGTCGAAAACAACACAGCTGTACAGGTATTATACACGCGCCGTAGACGACTGGCAAGCGAAGTCGATACAGCTCGTCAGCGCACAAAAATTTTAAATAAATGTAAAAAATAAAAACTTTGTTGGCAGCGTTGTCAGCGCCATTGTGAGTATTTGCTTATGCGGTGCCCAAACTCCGGCGGGCTGTTGGCGCTCACTGCCGCGCATGCGCTCCTCTGTCCCGATCATTGCGGCTGCGCAAATGGTGCGCACTGCTGTGCATTTTTTAAGTTTTATTTATATCTGTTCTTTTTGGTTTGTTTTGCTTCGTCGGCGTGTTGGCAAAAAGGTTTTGATTCAGTTACTTTATTTGTACTGCTTGCGGTTGCGTTGTTGTTCTTAGCTGTTAAAATAGTAGTTGGCACAACTTGACTTGGCGTGGAAATAAAAAAAACTGCTTACATACAAATCATACATATTTACATAACTATTTATGTTTAATGTCTACAACAACAGCAGCTATAACCTGACATTTCTGTGTTTCGCGCATTTAACATTATAAATACTTGAAATTCTGCAACAACAACAACCTGCGAAGCTGGGTTTTATTTAATTTTTTGCGTTGACCAGATTTCTCGAGCTTTTGTTATGGCCTTTTAATAGTATGTTCGTATGTACGAGTATGTGTGCGCATATATATTACCGCTGATGAATTATTGAAAAAAGACAAGGTTGAAAGTGATTTTATTGGTCATGTAATTAAGAGACACACGAAAAAATAGTATCAGATGATTCCGATTGTTAAGACAAATTTAAAATCTTGAAGGTCTCGGGTGGAACTCGTGAAAGAGTCCTCAGGTAGCCTGAATATGTAGGGTATATTAATGTTGCCACGAAGTTTGTAACACCCAGAAGGTAACGTGGCAGACCCAAAAAAATATATGTATATATCGAGCGAGTTGATCTACAAGGAGCCAAAACAACAAAAAAATCGCGTATGCGGGAAATGTTCCACGGATCATTCTGAATATCATTGCCTAAGAGAATATGGGTCTAAAATTGGTTTCGAGGCCGATTTTTTAAGTGAGGTTTTTCGAGATTCGTCCTATATTTTCATGCTATAGTGATCCGATCTAAACAATTTCTTCGGTGATTACATTGTTGAATATCATTGGCTGGTTGGAAGTAGAGATCATCCGCGTTTTTATTTCCTGCCTCATTTCGAAAGAAATAAGGCCTGATTATGCCGCCATACCACAATTCGCATCAAACGGTCGATTTTTGGGGATGCAATTGCGTTTCCTGAACCACACAAAGAATTGACTAATCTCAATGTCGACAATTTTGTTTGTTGACGAAGCCATTAAGGCAGAAATGGGCTTCATCTGAGAAGATGATTTTTCGATGAAAATCGTCGTTGGCGAATCGTCAGAGAACGTGAATTTGTGTAATAATCTTGGACAGTTTCCAAACGTTGTACCAAAGTAAAACATGATATGATGAAATGGCAAACCTTACAGAACACACTGATCAAATTTGACATAAGTCCAAAAACAGAAAGTTCCTCAAATCTCAGTTTCATGAGCACTAAGAAAAAAAGGGAGTCTTTATGTTCCAAAATTTAACAGTGTAGCCCCATACAGTGGCCAGTATTTTAAATTCCACAACAGCTGTGACAAAACTCCACCGAGCGAGAGCGTAAAGAATGACTGGCATGCTAAAAATGTCGGCAACCGGCTGACTACAGCGATAATAATAATAACAATGACAACAGTAGCAATAACATTAAACAAAAAAACGAACAACAACTACGAAAAAGCATGAAATTCAAGCTTCAAGCAACAACTGCAGCGTTGACCGCAACAACAGCGCAAGCCCAGAATAGAAAATATAAAATAAAACTTCTAGAAGACAAAATTCAAGGCACAAACATACATACTTGTAGTATGTATATGTAACTACGAAATACGTCGCATTTACTTATTAATTTGTAGTTTTGCCTTCAGTTGGAGTCATTCAGGGCGCTGCCAGCAGTTGCCACCAATCGAACCGCAAAAGGTGAACAACAAATTGCTGAGCTCTAAGGGGGTAAATACAAAAGACACGGTTCCTATGTAAATATGGATGTAGGTATTCAGATAACCGTACCTAAAAGCCCTGCGAGAAAGTAATGAACATCAAATTAGTACCCTTTTAAGTTTCTAAAGTGAATTACAAGTTGACCATATATTAACTCCTTTATCGGAATCAAGTAATGCTCTGGATTTAAAAGACTGAGGCTTCGAAGTTATGATAGTCTTAGAACGAACAAGATGAACAATGTGCGGTGAATTATTTCATCTAGCAAATGGCTTTTTATTCAATATTGTTATAAACATTAACCTTCTTAAAAAAATTAAGCACTTTTAATCCCATAGGTATTTGATGAGTGTTATATTAACCACATATTTTTTCTTGTTTTTTAAACATCCCTACTTCCTATCGAAACTGAGAAAATTGTTGACAGATTGAGCTGATCCAAAAGCTATATTTCATATAAGGCGACAGAAGTGAAATCCCGTGCTAACCATACTTGAATTGTAATTTATTATTTTTAATTTGGCAAAAATTATAGTTTTAGAATGTTTAAACTTGAGAAATAGATCTTACTAGTTTGACAAGAGATGAAATCGCTATTAATTTTTTTAAACAAGATCTGGAGAGTCACACACATACAATTTATTCAATCTATTAACTTTGAATACTTCAGGTATTTAAAATCGCTATTATTGAAAACACATTTGGATCCCTAAAACTGTCAAATGTCCTTAATGAAATTACGAGATGTATTTTTCATTCTATAAATTTATAATCATTTGAGTTGTAACCTTAAGCCACTCAGAAGTATAAATTTTGTCGCAAGAAACGACTTTTTTTGTGAAGCCGCCATTTTGTCATAAATCAAAATTTTTACTAGTCCTTCGATCATTACTTGCACTAATCTATAGTAATAATAATGTGTTTTGACTTTGAGATAATTTTAAGCAGCAAAGTCTTCCTCAGCACCAGAAACCTTTTTTGGGAGGTCCTCCTGGTGATCGGCTGGGGGATGAAGCGAATTCAACATTTTTAAAAATAAATCTCCAATTATTCAAGTACAATAAATTTTGTAAGATTCAAAAACACGTTTTTTCTGACTTGCAAGAGGATTTGCCCTAAAACAATCTCTATTTCAGATGACTCCTTACAATGAAAAATTACGACCTATGAAAATACCCTAAAATGTTCATCGCCGATAGAGCCCCAAAAAATTATTGTACAATCCATCCTTCCTCGTTTATTTTAATGAACAGAATTCATATCGATGCCTTCCCTCGATTCCTTTTCTTCATATCCCAGAGGTATAATTATATGACTACCAAGTCATTCCAAAAAACTTCATATTGGTTTTACCGACAGGGTACATAGAAATTAGCATAGTCAGCTAAAGCAGCGAAACACTGCAGCGCTGTCGCCAACCGCCAGCAGTGGTGCGCAGCAACAACTAACAGTCAGGCAGTGCAGCAATTTGCGCAGTTCGGCTGTCGATTTTGCAGCAGGTTGACTATTGTTTAGTTCAGTGGAAAAAATGCGGCAAAAAATTGCTGCTGAAAGATCTTAATTACATATATACCTGTAAATATGTATGTGTGTGGTTGGTGGTTAAGCCAACATTGTGCGGTTTGCGATGTGGGCTGGCTGTGTCGTTATTTTGTGACCAATATTCAGCGGTTGTTGTTGTACAGTTGTTGCTGTTTTCTTGCTGGCGCAAAAAGGTGTTGCTGTTGTTGCAAATTTTTCTCCACTGCAATTATTGTTCAAGTGTACACAGCATTTGCATTTTTGCTGCTGCAACTGCATATATATTGACAGCATATTATTATTGCCAATATTGTTGTTGCTGTAAATATTGCATTGCTAGTCGCAACGAATTTTTCGCGCGAAAATTTGCAAAACCGCGCCAACTAATATTACAATAAAAAGCAACAACAACAGTAGAAGTTAGAAATGTGGTATACATACAAACACATGAATGTATACTCGTATGTATATATATATACATATAAGAAGCAGTAAATTAGCAAAAACCAATAGAAAATATTGCAAAAAAGCCTATTTATACCCTGAAAAGAAGTTTATCACAAAGTCAATCTCACAGACATTACACACATCCTTTTCTCCCTAAGGCCGATACGATCTTTAAACAAGTAAGGAAGGGCTAAGTTCGGATGTAACCGAACATTTTATACTCTCGCAAAGTCAAATGGTATACTCGTTTGAGATTTCTTTGTGGATTGACTGATATTTTCGGTAGAAGGTCAACTATAGACACTGGGGTCCACATATTCAGTACCTAGGGGCTTGAACAGTTTTTGTTCGATTTAGACAATTTTTGGTCACAAGTTGGCATACTTTAAACGTATTATTCACGCAAAGTTTTACGCCGATATAATCATTGTTGCTTGATTTGCATAGTGGAAAGTGAAAGAATCAAGTGGTATTTAAAATGGTGTCATATGGAAAATAGGCGTGGTTGTAATCCAAATTCTCCCATTTTCGCACTATAACATAGAGATATGAGAAGAACGTTACGCACCGAATTTGGTTGAAATCGGTTAAGCAGATCTCAAGATTCATAAAGATATCTCAATTTTTACTCAAGTTAGAGTTTGCACGGACGGAAGACGGACGGACGGACGGACAGACAGTCACCCGGATTTCAACTCGTCTCTTCATCCTGATCATTTATATATATATAACCCTATATCTAACTCGATTAGTTTTAGGTGATACAAACAACCGTTAAGTGAACAAAACTATTATACTCTGTAGCAACAGGTTGCGAGAGTATAAAAAGTTGTTCACATCACACTAAAACATGTAGCTACCATTCCAGTTCAACAGTTCAGGGGTTATAACCATTTTCTAGTAAGAAAAAATGCATTTTATTTCGTTAATTACTGAAAATAATGTAGATTTACCGAATTTATTTTACTTGTTACTTTTACGGTGATTCATTTTGAAAAATTTTGGTTTCTCTTGATCCAGTAGCCGATCTGTAGGAAGATTTTTTTGCTTAA